CTCCCAAGTAGCTGGGACCACAGGTGCCTGCCACAACGCCTGGCTATTTTTTGGTTGCAGCCATCATTGTTTGGTGGGCCTGGGCTGGATTCGAACCCGCCACCTTGGGTGTACATGGCTGGCGCCTTAGCCACTTGAGCCACAGGTGCCGAGCCCCAATTTCCATTTTCAAACTAATGTACTAACTTATCATAGCACTTTGGAGATCTTTAGCTATATTATTTCTCCTATATTTCCAGAGAAAATTTGATGCATAAACTTTCTTCACTTTCATATGTTTAAACAGATGCAGATGTCACTATGGAGAGGAAGAAAAGAGGGAGCCCTGCTGTAACCCTTCTCATTAGAAAGCATGAAGAAATGGGCGGTGCCTGTGGCTCAGGGAATAGGGCGCTGGCCCTATATGCCGAGGGTGGTGGGTTCAAACCCAGCCCCGGCCAAAAAGAAAAAAACTGCAGCGAACCTGAAGAAATATCTGTGGATATAATCCTGGCTTTGGAATCAAGAAGTAGCTGGCCTGCTGGAACCCAGGAAGGCATGCCCATCAAGGATTGGCTTGGAGCAAAAGTCAGGACCAAACTAAGACAACAGCCATTTTACCTGGTACCCAAGCCTGCAAAGGAAGGAAATGGTTTTCAAGGTATTTTAAACTTTAAGGTTAACTTAGAGATGTAAAAGAGTTGTTAATGTAATACCCTAGGGAGAGGATCAACAGCTAACCAGTGTTAGTGGCATTTTAAGAGCCATCAGGCCATACGATGGGAACTTGGTGAGAGACGGAATTGAAAAGGCAGAGGTGCAGTATGACTGTAAAATGTCAGCTTTGGAATGTCCAGTAACCTGCATTTCAATTTTGTCTTTATTTTATTTTGTTTTATTTATTTTTTGAGACAGTCTCACTTTGTCACCCTTGGTAGAGTGCTGTGGCATCATAGCTTGCAGCAACCTCAAACTCTTGGGTTCAAGTGATTCTCTTGCCTCAGCCTCCTGAGTAGCTGGGACTATGGGCGCCTGCCACAATGCCCAGCTATTTCTTTTGTTTAACAGGCCCGGGCCAGGTTTGAATCCACCAGCCCTGGACCATGTGGCTGGCACCCTAACCGGCACCCAGACTCTTTTTCTTTTGTTAATAAAGGAAGGCAGTATTGGGTGGCGCCTGTGGCTTAGTGGGTAGGGCGCTGGCCCCATATACCGAGAGTGGTGGGTTCAAACCCAGCCCTGGCCAAACTGCAGCAAAAGAAAAAAGCCGGGTGCGTTGTGGCAGATGCCTGTAGTCCCAGCTGGGAGGCTGAGGCAAGAGAATCACCTAAGCCTAGGAGTTGGAGGTTGCTGTGAGCCATGTGACGCCATGGCACTCTACCGAGGGCAATAAAGTTAGACTCTGTCTCTACAAAAAAAAAGAGGCGGTGCCTGTGGCTCAAGGAGTAGGACTCCAGGGTTCGAGCCCAGCCCTAGCCAAAAACTGCAACCAAAAAAAAAAAAAAAAAAAAATTGGGGCAGTGCCTCTGGCTCAGCTGGTAGGGTGCCGGCCACATATACCAAGGGTGGCGGGTTCAAAGCTGGCCCCAGCCAAACTGCAACAAAGACATAGCCGGACATTGTGGCAGGGGCCTGTAGTCCCAGCTACTTGGGAGGCTGAGGCAAGAGAATCGCCTAAGCCCAGGAGTTGGAGGTTGCTATGAGCTGTGTGATGCCACAGCACTCTACCGAGGGTGAGAGAGTAAGACTTTGTCTCTACAAAAAAAAAATTAAAAAAAAAAAAGACGGTATTGGCTTTGGAGTTAGAGTGCTCTGGTTCTGAATCCTGAAACTGCTCTTCCTAGTTGTGTGATCTTGGGCTAGTTGTGAAGTCTTTTAAACCTGCTTTCTCATCTGATCACTGAGTTACTGAAAGCTACTTAAATGTTCTGGGAGGACGGATAAGGCAGTTATGTGAAGACCCCAGTTCCATTCACAGCCATTATACATTATTATGTGTTAACATTATCACCAGAGCCTAGACTCTTAATTCTTGGCCCTGTTTCTCTTTTTCCCTCATCTTCCCATCCTGTTGCTCCCACAGCTAGTGGACCTTCCCGGAGTCAGCTGTGTTTGGGTCAGTGATGTCTGCCTTTCCGCTGGTACATTTCAGCCTCACAGCTCAGGGCGGGCTGTGCTCGTGGATAACACTCTCAGAACATAAGTTCTGAGAACCAGACTGAGTTGTTGGTCTACAGCTAAAACTGAATAATGGTGGTATTTTTTTTCAGGTGTCAGAAAGAAAAGAGCTGATTATTTTCATTCTCTCTCATAAATTGAGATAGGACTTTTGGCACCTACTGTTGCTGGACTTGGGGAATTTTGGAAGAGACCACAAAACAAATGAACCATGTTATAAATGAAAATTGCTGAGAAAAAGCCCCCAAATAGTCAATCATGCTTAGCTGGATGGATTGCATTTTCGTGGATACATATCATAACTCTTTATATTGCATACATATAGAGGTCATTTTCTGCCAGAAAAAAATAGTTTGTGAAAGGGAAGCACATATATCATTATTCATGGTTTTGCAAAAGGAACACAGCTTTCTATAAAGAAGTGCTGTAATTCCAGGGTAATTTTTAGAATGGTTGTCCCAAGAAACCTCATTGATGTGATAAAAGCATCTCAACAAGATCCCATACCATCCTCTTGCTGTCTCCCTACGCCCTGGGGAAGACTGGGAGAGTCCAGTGGTCCTATGGCCTCCGTGCTTGGGTAATTCTTACCTCTTTGCATTCGTATGAAAACAAGTGGAGCTGGTGAAGGGTACTCAGCTTCACCTCTGCTGTTACCCTCGGCTGTTCTCCCATCATCCCAGATTATCTGTATTCAGACACAACCCTGCCTCTGTGTGTATGTGTTCACGTGTGTGTTCACATGTGGGTGAACTCACACAGAGGGACTTATTAAGAGTAAAAATACTTGGGGCAGTGCCTGCGGCTCAAAGGCCCCATATGCCGGAGGTGGCGGGTTCAAACCCAGCCCTGGCCAAAACCCGCAAAAAATAAATAAATAAATAAACACACACACACACACACACACACACACACACACACACTTGTACCAGATTGTAGGCATTTGTAACACCTGCTTTAGTTTTTCTTTCCAAACATTTCAATAGAAATTCCCCAGTCTCACAAGCCATATTTTTTTTAATATTATTTGTTTTTAGATAAAAATTTCAAACTTTTTTTTTTTTTGAGACAGGAGCCTCAAGCTGTCCCCCTGGGTAGAGTGCTGTGGCATTCAGCTCACAGCAACCTCCAACTCCTGGGCTCAAGCGA